CGTAGAGCTGGGGCGCTCCGGCTTGAAAATGGAAACTGTACTTCAATAAAGACTTTTGCACATTACTGCCGGCTAGCGTTGGTCCTCTGTGAGCTGGGACCTGGAGCCAGCTCTGACAATACCATTCAGTGGAAACCGCAGGAGAGGGAGAGTGTTCCAATCCTATTACCTCCTATACCTCTCCTGGTCTGCCCCGCAGAGGACCTTAAGGTCCACGAATAATCATAGTTTAGAGGTCCCAGGCCCGAAGGAAGTCAGACTATCCTCCACCAGGGCCAGGGCCTTCTCAGTGATGGCTCCAACCTGGTGGAACGCTCTGTCCCATGAGACCAGGGCCCTGCAGGATTTAACTTCCTTCCGCAGGGCCTGTAAGACAGAGCTAGTCCACCTGGCTTTCAACTTGAACTTAGCCTGATCTTTTATTCCCCTTCCTTCCCTCCCCCTCTCCTTTTTATGAAGATTACTCACTCTGGATCCCACAGCTAATTCTCCCCTGGTCTCCTCGCTGGCCCAAATAGGACTAACTTAGCCAGCTAGCCCTGGTGATCATCTAACGTTTATTGGATAGACTTTCCCCCTAAATTGATTTTTGAATTCTGAATTTATTGTTATTCACGTTTTATACTGTATTTTATGCTTTGTTTTGTTGCATCAATTACCGGTAAGTGTTTTAAATTTGCTGTTAGCTGCCCTGAGCCCGGTTTTCTGAACTGGGAAGGGTGGGGTATAAATAAAAAATTATTATTACTGTTTATTATTTCAGGATTGTCTGATGTTTTATTGTATTTTTAACATTTTGTTGGAAGCCGCCCGGAGTGGCTGGGGAAACCCAGCCAGAAGGCTGGGGTATAAATAAATTATTATTATTATTATTATTATTAGTCAGGGTCAGCCACTGTGAGAACAGGATGCTGGACTAGATGGGCCATTGACCTGATCCAGTAGGATCTTCTTATGTTTATATATGCTACATATGATTATTATTGCTTCCAAGAAGACATGTGCTCTAGCAGTACACTGCAATGCCTGCCTGGAAGCTGCTTCCCTCTCCCTAAGTCACATTGCAAAATAATTGTTCCAGACCCCCCCCGTAGATTTTTGCAAGAGGCCTCATTACCCAAGCTTGGCTTTTTGCCTGTCCCGCAGGGATCCTCGTTCTGCCTCTTTTCTGATGCTCTTGGGCAGAACTTTCCCGAGTGATTTTGGTGCCCAGGAATGTGATCCTGTCGCCCATGTAGTCAAGTGTTTTTCCAGCTCAGCAGGTTATCTGTGTGTCAGGGAGACGCTCCTGGCTTTTGTCTTGTTTTTGGGTTTTGACACAGACTCTGCATGAGCAGATCAGCATTCCTGCTAAGGGGATTAAAGAGTTTAAAAGTGCACTCTGTCAGCAAAATGGTATTTACGGAGGGAGAATCTACCTTACAAAAAACAAAACACTTTAGAATGTCCCAGGCTGACCTCGGAGTATTTCATGCTTTACAAAAACAACGAGGAATCTTGTGGGCATCTTAAAAGGCTAGGAATCTTCTTGTGGTGTAAGCTTTTGTGGGCTGAAGCCTATTTCATCAGGTGTGCGGTTATCCTAAGTTTCATATGTGGTTGGCAGGGGAGGGCTGTACAATGGGGTAGGAAGGAAAGGAAATTCAGAAAAAGTACAGAGAGTGATAATTACATGATTAGCAGTGGCCACAGACACACAAAAAGGCTGGCTGTGTTGATAACACAGACATCATGGCATTGGCAAGCCCAGGGGTCCTCAATTTTTTTCTTTTCTTTTTTTAAAAATAATATTTATTAAAGTTTCAAAGGAAAAAAAGATCACATTATTAAAAAAAATTAGCAATAGAAAAGAAAAATACAAAGTAGAAAAAAAAGAAAAAACAGTTAAAAACAATTCCATCTTTTCCTCACTTCTTTTACGTTTACTTGTTTCCCGGACCTCCTCATACCTCCCTCTTTTGTATTCTAATTCAATTGTTAATCCAACAATTCCTTTCCCTCCTTTTTACTCCTAATCCTTAGTCTTGATATATTGTAACATTAGATTTTTACATATTAAGAACCAATTTTTCCATATTCTTTTGTACCCATACAGCTAGAAACGCCTTAACTTCAATCCAACATCATTCTAACATTCATTAATCTTACAATATTTCTGTAAATAGTCTTTAAATTTCTTCCTATCTTCCTCCACCGACTTTTCTCCCTGGTCACGGATTCTGCCAGTCATTTCTGCCAGGGTCCTCAATTTTTTTCAGCAGGGAGCCGGTCCACTGTCCATCAGACCTTGTGAAGGGCTGGACTATATTGGGGGGGGGATAATAATGATTTATTATTTATACCCCGCCCATCTGGCTAGGTTTCCCCAGCCACTCTGGGCGGCTTCCAACAGAATATCAAACCTACTAACCTATTAAACATTAAAAGCTTCCCTAAAGAGGCCTGCCATCAGATGTCTTCTAAAAGTCTGGTAGTTGTTGCTCTCTTTGACATCTGGTGGGAGGGCGTTCCACAGGGCGGGCGCCACCACCGAGAAGGCCCTCTGCCTGGTTCCCTGTAACTTGGCTTCTCGCAGTGAGGGAACCGCCAGAAGGCCCTCAGCACTGGACCTCAGTGTCCGGCAGAACGATGGGGGTGGAGACGCTCCTTCAGGTCTACTGGACCGAGGCCGTTTAGGGCTTTCAAGGTCAGCACCAACACTTTGAATTGTACTCGGAAACGTCCTGAGAACCAGTGAAGTTCTCGGGCCCCCCCCCTCACAGATTGTCTCTTAATACTTGATTGAAATTTTCTTTCAAGATCAAATCAATCTTATTTTGATCCTTTCTCTCAGGGGCCCTGAAAGGCATGGGGCCCTTAGGCCAGGGCTTACTCTGCCTGTTTGGTAACCTGGCACTGCAGAGACCTTCTGCCTGGGATGGAGATGCTGAGCTTCCGAAACATGACCCCAGGTCAGTGCCACGGTCCACGGCATCCGTCCGATGAGGCGCAGTGAGTCGTGGAGCCCATTCAAAAGGCAGAAAAGGGGGGGTTGGGTTGGATGCTGCAACCGGTCAATTATTCAACAGCCTTTTTGTTCCCCTGATGCTAATTTCTGCCCATGCAGAGAGCCGCACTCTGCCAGCTGTTGCATCCCACAGCTGACCTTGAGGCCACCTTCCCAGCCGCCACGGATATACCCAGGAAGTAGGAAATTAGGGGGTGGGTGGGTTGTGGGCACAAGGAGACCCTTTCTCTCCTGCAGCCCACATCTTCTCAGTCCCTGGCCTTTGAAGCAGAGAAAATACACCAATCAATGGAAGGAAGGGAGGTCCGTCCTCAAAACAGCTCATTCCTCCTTGACCGAGAATTCCAGGCCAATTCCTCAAAGGATGAGGAAGAGTTGGAAAAGGTTCAGGAAAGGGCAGCCAGAGGGCACTTGTGTTGCTGTTTGTTGTTGCTGATTGTGCTTGCTGTAATGCCAAGATGGTGTCTCAGGTGTGCCAGAACTGCCACGCTGACTGCCAAGCTGCTGTGAACCGAATGATTAACCTGGAGCTCTATGCTAGCTAAGGGATGCGGGTGGTGCTGTGGGTTAAACCACAGAGCCTAGGACTTGCCGATCAGAAGGTCGGCGGTTCAAAGCCCCGCAACAGGGTGAGCTCCCGCTGCTCAGTCCCTGCTCCTGCCAACCTAGCAGTTCGAAAGCACGTCAAAGTGCAAGTAGATAAATAGGTACCGCTCCGGCGGGAAGGTCAACAGCGTTTCCATGCGCTGCTCTGGTTTGCCAGAAGCGGCTTAGTCATGCTGGCCACATGACCCGGAAGCTGTACGCCGGCTCCCTCGGCCAATAAAGCGAGATGAGCGCCACAACCCCAGAGTCGGCCACGACTGGACCTAATGGTCAGGAGTCTCTTTCCTTAACCTATGCAAGCTATGTCTACTTGTCCATGTCCTACCACTTTGACTGTGATGATGTTGCCTTGCACCACCCGGCTAAAAGAGAAAGAGCAATCCCAAGAAGAGAGGAGCACACGGAGAAGTTCCTGCAGTACCAGAACAAGCGGGGAGAACATCCTGCTGAAGGACATCAAGAAGCCAGAGAAGAATGAGTGGGGAAGCAGTCTGGGTGCCCTGCAGTCTGCCCTGGAGCTGGAGAAGGTGGTGAACCAGGCCTTGCAGGATCTGCACAAGCTTGCAACAGAGAAGGGAGACCCTCATCTGTGTGACTTCCTGGAGACGGAATACCTGGAAGAGCAGGTGAAGGCCATCAAGCTGCTTGGAGACCACCTCACGAACCTAAGACGCCTGGTGGTACCCCAGAATGGCACGGGAGATTACCTCTTTAACAAGCTCACCTTGGGAGAGAGCAGCTGTGCAGCATCTTAAAATGTTATAGCATATGATGGTGTTAAAAATAATAAAAACAAGGACGCCAGCCAGGAATACCAGAGCAAAACAGCAGCCAGGAGGCTTGGTCTTGATTGAAGACTGTGGCGACAGGACTCCCACCTGCCACCAGGTGGAACAAGATGGAAGCCCCAAACAAGAGAGACCCCAAACTTTTATTAGCTACTAATCCCCATGTTACCCCCCCCCAAACTACATCACTAATATAGCATGGTTACATCATGAAAGGGGAGGTCTGGTGGCAGTAATCTGAGCATCCTGGACCCTGCCCCATGGTTCTCCTTGCCCTCCAACAAACACCCATCAAGTGAAAAAAAGAGATATTTACATTTCCCTGTTTCCCAGCCAAATTAATCCCACCCTTTTGCCTTCATCTGGGTTTGTTATTTCTGGAATGGCTACCTGTCTGGCACTCAGGTATCAGGATGCCAGGAATTATCCCTCAGGCAGAGGGGCTGCTGAGTAGCTGAGCTCACATGTCTATAGGAATTTCTGAAGTTTCCCGAGTGAGCCAGTACATAGATGCATTTATCAGTGAATTCTTACATTTGGTTTCTTGCAGCAAAGGCCCTTTGAATAGATTGGAAGAAACTGTGATGAAGTGTTTTGTGGGGACAAGTCACAAAAGTCACAAAAGTGATTGCGCTGGTTTTGGTAGTGGGCTGCACGTGCATGATATCTGCTGGAGGGGCAACCCCCCCCCCAACCTATACATAAATTCCTGCAACAGCATCCCCATGCTTCCTCCGTCTCATGACTTCCCCTCACACCTTTTCGCCATGCGCCTCCCTTCCCACAGCTCTTTCCCTCCCTCCCTCCTCACTTTCTCCCAGGGAGCAGAAGGAAGACTTGAAAGGGGCCTTTGTGTGTCAGAAAGCAAATACGGTCCCATTGTCCCTTCCTTCCCCTCCACGGCTGCCACCGCCGCACATCCAATGAGCAGCAGCAGCAGGACAGAATATCAGGAATGGATGAAGCATCACCGGTGCCACTGGTTTATGGCCTCTGGACGGGTCACAGGTTATTCAGACCAGGTGTGAACCCCTGGAGGCATCAGTGAGGAAGAGGTGGGCGAGGCAGCAGGCAGGCAGCCGTTCCTGGATTGGGGCTTCAAGCTCTACGTAGAAATCTCAGATTAACCAGCATGTAAAATCATGGGGGTGAATGTGGGCCCCCAGGCCTCTCTCTCTCTATGGCCCCTGGGATTCTGCCCAGGCCACACCTCCACCCTAGGCGACGCCGCCCAACAGCCCTGCTCCACCCACCTTCCTCAAGGGCTGCTGCCTGCCTGGGCTGACTCCTTAAGCTCTGGCCATGGCTCTGATTTTTCTATGGCGGGTTGCATAGAAACCAGGGTTGTGAAGACTGCAGAGAGAATAATTGGGTGCACTCTTCCCACCTTGGATTAAAGCTATGCTTCCAGGTGCCATAAGAAAGCTGCAGAAATATCACAGGATAGTGTGCACCCCGGAAATGATCTCTTTCAGCTTCTCCCTTCTGGAAGAAGGTACAGGGTTATAAAGACTAGGACTAGCCGCCTGAGAAACAGTTTCTATCCAAATGCGATTTTGGTTTTAAACGCAGTGTAAGGTAGTCTCTCTGGGAGTATATTGTATTTAATTATGGGGTATCAGAGTTTTTAGGGGGCTGGGATAGTTGGGATAGCAGGCTTGTTGGTTTCTGAATGTCTGGTGTAGATTTTCTCAATTTCGTTGTTCTGTGTGGGACAACGACAATAAAGATTATCATATCAATTATCGTATCGTAACCTCAGGTTGAGTGCGCAAGGGTAAAGGTAACATGTGCTCAGACCACTTTTGCCTCTTGCCCTGGCAAGCCAGAAGGTTGCCCGACGGCGAATGTGGCTTCTGCTAGGAACAGCTGTTGGGAGGAAGGCGAATGGGTAGGCAAGGGGGCATGAGGACCCTTCAGTTCTGGCCTGCGTGGAAAGGAGAGCCAGTGTGGTGTAGTGGTTAAGAGCGGTAGTCTCGTAATCTGGGGAACCGGCTTCGCGTCTCCGCTCCTCCACATGCAGCTGCTGGGTGACCTTGGGCCAGTCACACTTCTCTGAAGTCTCTCAGCCCCACTCACCTCACAGAGTGTTTGTTGTGGGGGAGGAAGGGAAAGGAGAATGTGAGCCGCTTTGAGACTCCTTAAAGGGAGTGAAAGGCGGGATATCAAATCCAAACTCTTCTTCTTCTTCTTCTTTTGCTGCTTCCCTGGGGCCCTGGCAGGCCTGTGAAAAGAGCTGGCGGAGGTGCTCAGAGCCCATCCAAGGGCCACATAAGAAGTGCTGCAGGATCAGGCCAGTGGCCCACCTAGTCCAGCATCCTGGCAGGATTCGAACACAAGACCAGCTCTCCCCTCCTGTGGTTTCCAGCAACTAGAATTCAGAAGCATCACTGCCTCTGACCGTGGAGGCAAAGCAGAGCCATCTTGGCTAGTTAGCCACTGGCAGCCCCCTCCTCCTCCGTGAATCTGCCTAATCCTCTTTTAAAGCCATCCAAGTTAGTGGCAGCCACAGTCTCCTGTGGCAGGGAGCTCCATAGTTTAACTGGCCTAGATGATGAAATTGTCGGGGGTCTGGGGAGGGTGCATCACTGCCCCTCAGCTGTCCTACGCCTGAGAAGGTGGTGACTCTCCAGAATTTCTGGCGTAGCTAAATGGGCCCCAAGCACAGGCCTCGCAGCCGAGCCCTGCTTCGGAGTGATTCTGGCTACGTGGATCTCAGCCGGGCTGTAAAAACTGCAGCCGGCGCAAAGGAGGTGTCCCTGCTTGTGCAACGCTGGGTGTGCCCAGGGCCGCCTCAGCGTGACTCAGACTCCTCAGTGAAATGCAAGAGCCAGCCAGCCCGGGATTACTTCCTCACCCCAGAGCCAATTTTAGCCCTTGTTCGAGGGGCTATAGGAGGGAAATCCGGCAGCCGAGTCTCCTGTGCTCCTCTATTCTTGCTGCATGTTCCCCGCTGACTATAATAGTAATACAGTGGTACCTCGGGTTAAGTACTTAATTCGTTCTGGAGGTCCGTTCTTAACCTGAAACTGTTCTTAACCTGAAGCACCACTTTAGCTAATGGGGCCTCCCGCTGCCACTGCACCGCCGGAGCACGATTTCTGTTCTTATTCTGAAGCAAAGTTGTAACCCGAGGTACTATTTCTGGGTTAGCGGAGTCTGTAACCTGAAGCATCTGTAACCTGAAGAGTATGTAACCCAAGGTGCCACTGTAATAATTATAATTTATTCTTTATACCCCTCCCATCTGGCTGAGTTTCCCCAGCCACTCTGGGCGGCTCCCAATCGAGTGTTAAAAACAATACAGCATTAAATATTAAAAGCTTCCCTAAACAGGGCTGCCTTCAGGTGTCTTTTAAAGAGAAGATAGCTGCTTATTTCCTTGATATCTGATGGGAGGGCGTTCCACAGGGTGGGTGCCACCACCGAGAAGGCCCTCTGCCTGGTTCCCTGTAACCTCACTTCTTGCAGTGAGGGAACTGCCAGAAGGGCCTCAGCGCTGGACTACAAAGAAAGGGCTTCACAGCACAGTACTATGCAATCACACACACACACACACACACACACACACACTGAACTCTGACGTTTTCCTGCTTGAAAACACAAAGCCTGTATTCAGCCAGGGATCATTCAGCCAGGGCTGTGCCACATTTTTCATGATCCAAGCTGCCAGGTGCTGCTGATGCTCCACTTTCTAGCCAGGGAGGGTCTCGGGGGGGGGGGGCAGGACTTTCTGGCTTCTTGGCAGAAGGTGAAACACCACCAGGGATTTACTGCCTCTGAACTGTGCTGGTGGCCAATAGAAACAGGAGCCTGAGTTTCGATTTCCCTCTTCCCTCCTTGCCCCTTTGTGCGTTGTGTTTTTCTCAGATTGTAAGCCTGTGGGTAGGGGGAACATCTCGCTATGATTTTATGTAAGCCGCCCGGTCTGGGAGAATTTTCTGGCCGAAGAGCAGGGCACAAATGCGTTTCCCTAAATTTAGGTCTTCATGGAATTGCCCCAAAAATATATTAAATTATTTTTGTATGCCACTACAGCGGCAAGATTGCTGTTAGCTAAAAATTGGAAATCTCAAGAAATCCCAACGGTGGAAGAATGGCAGATGAAGATGTTGGACTTTTTGGAGCTAGCTGACCTGACTGGAAGAATCCGCGACCAGAAAGAAGAGGAATATCAAGAAGATTGGGAGAAATTTAAGGACTATTTGAAGAAATATTGTAATATAAATAATTAGAAGTCACTTGAAAGCACCAGATAGGCCTAGGATTAAATTAGGGTATAATTGTAAGTAAGTTGGATTTAGAACAGTAAGAAAAGAGAATAAGATAGTTAATTGCTGGAAATAATTTTAGTTTAAGAATGATATTGGAAAGCTGATACATGCAGATACAATGAAGGGGGTGATCTGAGGAAGTCAATTAACAATGTAAGAGAAATAGGGTTTTCAAGGGATATGTGTTTAAGATTTCTTTTTTGTTTTTCTTTTTTAGTACTGTCTTTTGTGTGTTTTCTTTTTTCTATGTTATATTTGTTATAACTGTGGAAAATTTAATAAAAAATTTTGGGGGGAAAACAAACTTGGGTCTTCAACTGCTTTTAGACTACAACTCCCATCATCCCTAGCTAGCAAGACCAGTGGTCAAGGATAATGGGAATTGTAGTTCCCAAGTTTAGGGAAACACTGCTCTAAATAACTTCACAACATCAGTAACAAAGCATTTGAGGAGAAGCTCAGAATGCTTTATTCTTTCGTGTGTGTTATTTCTTACTCTGTTAATCCTGTTACAGCTATAGCTGAATGAAATGTTTAAACCATTTGACCTGATCCGATCTACCCCTGCCTGTTCAGACATTGGAGAGGCGTCAATATATCTCACCAAAAGTTCTGCCCTTCTGGAGACTGTCCAAGGCAAGGGGACCCAGACATCCTGGCCACTTAGGTCACTGGGACAATGTAAGAATCTGC